GTGTTTATGAGTCAACAGCATATAGTAAATATGTGTCTTTAAATAGAAAAACAAGGTTTGATCAGGTGGTGAAAATACTGTGACCAGGGGCTCACAGGAACTGCACCCTGTACCCACCCTGGGAGCACAGCATTCCCTGATTGAGTTTTTCAGTGACTACGAAATGAAACTACCATGACTAACAAGAATCAACTGTGTTTACTTCCTCCCATGAAAAGATTTGCAATAGCTGAGAGATGAAATGTAGTCAAGTCGCTAAAGGAAGAATGAAAAACAAGCAAGCATGGAGTCATATTGTGCAGAAGTAGAAAAGGTCAAGTTCTTTACCCAGAGGTACGTCGGTGCCTATTACATTTAAGCAGACCCCTTGAGTTCTGATCTTCCAGGTAGCAGAGGCAAAAACAAACAAAGTAATATAGCTTTTCCTATCAGATTAAAAATAGTATATCAATTTATTGGGAGAGACACATTTTTTTCTATTATATTCTAAGAGTAACTTTATGGTATGAAGCACATAATATAACATACAACATTTCTAATTGTAGTTTTAAAAATGATGGAGAAGCGGACATTATGTGATTGCCTTTATATTGACAAATAACAAAGCCCAAGGCACTAATAGAATCTCTGAGATTTTCCATGAAGGATTTCTACAGGGATCTGAAGTTTGTGTGTCGCTGGAACGCCAACATAAAATATAGCGCTCCATGTTAAGCACACATTTACATTCCTAAAGAGCTTCCAATGAAACTATTGTAATGGTGAAATTACCCAGTCCTCTGGTAAATTGGAGGGGGAGATACCTTTGATCAGGTTGCTATTTGGGTGCCTCTAAAATCACTGTAGAAAGAGGGCATCTGCCTTTGCCTGTGGGTCGGACAGTCACCAGGAGCAGCCCAGGTGAACGAGGAAGACTGTCGCCTCCAGTCCACACCTGACCGCTGTGATTAACCAGAAAGACCTGAAACCGCACCCTCCAAGCCTCCCTCCTTGTAAATATCCACGCTCATTTTCAGTTACTAATTCATTCTCCCACTGGTGCTAAGAATTTTCTGATAAGATTTGGAGGAAGGTAGAAAGTTTAGGTTCAAATATTATAGTGAGTCAAGACATGTTAAGAAAAACAAAAACAGAGTCAATAAAAGCTTATAAACTCCTTTACACTTTCCCACATTATGGGTTTGTTAACGATCAAATTCTTGAGCTTAATTTGTCCTGATTTTTTTATTGATTTGATTACTAACCTAACTCTTGTCAGAATTTATAAAAATAAGTGTGGCTATTTGTTAAACCTACATATTCAGCAATTTTTGTACAGAGATTTTTATATTGAGTCTTGGGCCTTCATATTGCTGAAATATTAAATGGGAAAAATTCCTGGAACTTATTAATAAATAAATGTACCTATATTTCTACAGACTCTAGACAAGGAGACATTTAAGTTAGACCAGGCTGCTGACCTACAGGGGAAAAAAATGAGGTCTTGAGAAAAGTGAGGGAAAAAATTTTTTAGCCATCATAGTTTATAAGAGATAGAAACAATTCAATTTCTGTAATTTTAAAATTGAGAAGGGAACACAAAAAACTTGATTCGGTTAGATACAACAAATACAATTAAATGGAGATGCAATTTGATTTATTGGAAATAATATGAATGAGTTTTATGCAGATTACTGGCAATATCTTACTGCCAGATGCAGAAAAGATCTTCTGCATCAAATATATATAAAAATAGAAAAAAATAAGTTTTATGGTATGGTGTGGGGTGATAAGGGGTGGTGAGGTGGAGGGAGCTAAAAGTAGGGTAAAATCCTCCATCACTTGTAGCTTTTTAGACATAAGTTTGATGGTGTAGATGTAGCATTTTATACGCATTCTTTAATTTTGTTTTTTCAAAGAAAATGGTCCCTTTTATGAGGAATAGAGAGAAAATAACAGAGTATATAGATGACGGTACATACCTGCTATACCAAGCTGGCAGTACTGGCAAGTGGGGCCTTGGCCTGGCCGCCAGCATCTCTGGGGCACTGTTTTAAATGTTCACTCCCGAGTCTGTTTATGACAAGTGTGAATGGGAATTGTAGTCGCTGGGGCTCAGAGGGGTTGACGTGCGATGGGAGGAAGCGCGGGTTTGAACGTGGGGAGGTCAGGGCTTGCCTGAACTTCAGCAGGCCCTGCCCTGGTTGCGTTTGGGTGGGAGCCGGCGCCCCCTGCCTTCCCGCTACCCCGGTCCCAACGTCTGACCGAGACCCTGACACCCGTGTGGGAAGGCTGAGGCTCCATCTCAGTGGGAAGATAAATTTTGGTCAGCTGTTTTTAAGATGACTAATTTTAAAGACTCGGAGTATTAGCTTTCGATTGTCGTGTCCAACAGAGAATCAGTCCCCTTTCCTCTCACTCCCCACCCCCTGCAAAATGAAGAAGGGTCACTGGGAATGTATGGAATCTACAGGCCAAAATCAATTTTGGAGAAATTGTTTGAAAACCACTCACAGTAGAAAACTCAACAGCCCTCTAACATGTTCCTGTCTCTGATAAGCTATGAAAATAGTACTGGTTTGGTAAGTTGAGTGACATTCTGCTTCTCCCTGGCAAATATTCCCTTGTGCTTTTTAAATAAAGTAACCAAAGACGGACTCAAGCGAGAAATTTAACTAGGTAAATCCTTTGTAATTTAGCAGAGTCCCCTTCACACATAAACCGTCACTTGTGAATCCTATTAATACCCGCAAGTCCAAAGGGCAACTCACAGACTCCTGGGTTGTCTCACTTAGTAACTGGCCAAAGGCGATGGAATGGAGATCAGTCATGTTACAAAATATCTTCTCTTCTAAAAAATCATTTAATGGTTTGTTTAAAAAGAAGACCCCCAATTTATTCTAAACACATTTACATTTGTGTAAGTCTCATTTATGAACAACAGACCTGGAACACAAATGCTGCATACAGTGAGTATATCTGTTTATTTACTTAAAAATAAAGTACGTACAGTGTGTCATGGTTCATAGCTCAGTGACGGATGTTAGTATAGAAAAGTGCTTCGTTGCTGTTCTTTCTTTTTTTTTTTGCATTGATTTTCATGCCCAAATGCAAATTTTCTGACTTTAGGAATGTGTATTCTGAAAGACGGACAGCTGTGTCTTCTGTTTAAAGGCGAGAGGCCGTGGATTCTCGTGGACCCGGATTCAAACTCTAAGCCTGCCAGTCATCCGCTGTGTGGTTCTGGGCATGCTAACTAACCTTTTTGTGCTTCAGTCTTTTCATTGGCGAACCCCCCAAAGGTTTCTGTGAGAATTAAATTAACTAATGTATGTAAAGTTCTTATCAGCACAGCTAACGTTCAGCCCTTTTCGTGTCATGGCACATAAACAAGTTATTAAAATTCTGCGGCCTACCAAAAAATATACATTTTGGTGATCTGACAAAAAAAGAGGTTTAATTTTGATTCATTCACACCAGATGGCTATTGTGTTTGCTTTATTTATTTATTTTTTTAATTTAACAATCTAAGGGAGAAGAGGTCAGTGCCCTTGACTAAATAGCCAGGTATTGCAGGTTTTAAAAATTCTGCGGCACACCAGTTGAAAACCACTGGCCTAGCATAATAGCAATGCAACAGGAGGTTGTTAACATTAATTCCAGTCTGGCAACTCAACAAGTGGTTGTTAATAGTCTACTTACATCTAACTATACTAAAAAACCGGAGTACAATAGAGTCAAGTATTTGGGCAGATCCCTATCAGTTTTGTTTTCTGAGTGAACCATGGGTATCAGTTTTGTCTCCCTGCAGTGATTCTTCACTCCTGTTGGAAATTATTTATTTTTTAATTTTATATTGGTTTTGAAAGTACGTAGTACACTTGTGTGGTTCAAAATTCCAAAGGCGCTAAAGTATACAGTGAAAAGTGTCCTTCCTTTCCTTGCTTTCCATCTGGCTCCCCTCCCCAGAAGCAAATCTTCAAAATCTATTTTATACATATATAAATAAACAGGAGATACACATATTCTTCTCCCCCCCCCTTTTTTTGCACAAAAATTAGCATACTATTTAGGGTTGTCAAATGAAAGACATGGCATTCAGTTCAATGAACAACATTTGGGACTTCACACTAAAAGTTTAATTGGCGTTGTCTGAAATTCAGGTTTTACTGAGCACCCTGGGCTTTCTTTGCCAATTCTGGCATCCCGAAATTACCCTCCCACTGTTTGGTATCTTGTTTGTCTGCTTTTGGATTTTGATTTTTGTCCCATTAGAATCGCAATCTAATATGAGTCTAAAACTCCTCTACCGAAGACACACACTCCAGACTGATTTCATCAGTATGTCTAGGGATTCTACTTGGGCAACAGTATTTTTTTCCAGTGATTTTCTTTCAGCGATTTAATGGAGAAATAATTTACACACTAAAAATCACACCCATTTTAAGTATATATAGTCCAGTGTTCTTTGACAAATGCACACACCTATTTTTACTTAACAATATAATTTGGCAATCAAAAATCATTTCTTAAAGTATAAACCCTTTAGAGCAAGCATTATATCCCATGCTACTTTTCTTCATAGGGCTTGAGCGCTTTATAAGTGTATGAGATAAATACAAATTGAGTAGGAACAAAGTTATTTATTGTAGTTATTATTTAAGTTTAATGTACAAATTGAGCAATGTTACTAGTGAATGTTTCCAGTTGCAGCACTAATTAAAAAGAAATTCAGAGACTGCAAAGACATTGTTGCTATCTACAGGTGTGCATGCTGAGTGGTAAACCAGGTTCTTTACACAAATATACCAAATGACCCATTCACACAAGAGGGATCTGGGACCAACGTTCAATAAATTATTCAGGCCACGTAGCTAAAAATTCGAGGAGCTGGGATTCGATCTATGTCTGACTCCGGGTCTTGCTAAGGTCACATCCCAATCTGGCTTAATTTTGAGACTCCACCTTTCTCAACAAGATTCAGAAACTGTTTTTACTTTCAGAAAAGATTCAGAACAGCTGTTTCTCTTTCTCAATGGATGACTTTCTCAGCCAAAATGTCTTCTAGAGAGAACCAGCAAGACAAACCAAACAGGTAAAATTCCTTCGGGGTCAAGTTTCCTTCATCTCTTACAAGATAGTTCTTACAAGATATTTCTGGATTTTGTAATTGTTCACCTGTCTTGGATCACCTGAGAAGGAAGGATCACTTGAGGAAGTAGGGCTTGTGAAAAAGGTTGAATGGACATAACTATGAGTTGAGATTTAGGAGGAAAGGAAACAGTGTCATTTGCTAATGAACCTTATCTTTTGGCTCAAATCATGTGTATTTCTTGTACCCATGTCTTGATGTGTGACTAAGTGAAGGAACTGAATTAGAACAGTAGGGGTGGATATCTTCTTCCTGAACATGCCAAATATTTTCTCTTTCTCTATGGACATGTCTTATGAAATATGTGGTGGAGAGACAGACCACAAAACCATTCTAGTTTCTGCAGCAGAGAATACAATGTGAGTATCTGTTTCGAGGTGATTCCCTGATAATGATATCATCCGGTAAATCTGAGGCAGATTCACAGGGTAGAAGCTGAATTCTATTCCTGGCTTAGCTTCTTTCATCCGTCTCCATATTTACAAGACTTATAAAAATTTCGTCCATATAGTTAATCTTCAGTAAATGTTTTTTGAACTTTCTGGATGTTCTCTTTTAAAACTGAGGATATACTGTGTTCTGGGTAGTTTGGCAAAGTGGGGTATCAGCGAGGGTGAATCTGCAAGCACAGTTACCATGAATTCAGAGACCATAGAGCTACAATGGAATCTTAAATTCTTTTAACTTTAACAATTATTCTTAAGAGATTTATCTGTATTACAGCATAATAAACTACTTCATGCCCAGAGTGACATAAGTCTGAAGTCAAATGATATATAATATAATCTTCATCAAGCAGACAAGTAATTGATGATCATTTAAAAAAAGATTCAATATTTGCAATAAATGATATTCAGAATAAAAACAACAACAACAACAAAAAAACCAATTTCAATTCGCCTAGGAGCATCTTCAGAGGATGGACTAACCTGAAATCCTAACACTTATCAAAAAGTTGATGAGAAAGAACTCTCTAAGGTCCAGTGACTTTCAGAGAGAGCTTCATGCTTGGCAGTCTATGGCATGTGGACTCATTTAAAAAAACAAAAGACATCCACGAAACCACATTTTTGAGTGATTCCAGTAGTTTGGAATTGGGTTTTGGCTCAGAATCCAAAGGATAATGCTGTGATTGCAACAAAGAAATTATAAGTATAGTTTTCTCTAAAGACTATGAAAAGGGGGGGGGGGGAATGGAGACCAGATCAACTTAATGTTTTACTAATTGTCTTAATGTTTCTATTTAATTCTGTGACTTGGTCCAAAGTGTTTTGATTCTGTCTTTTTCCAAAGTATCACAACCATGCGTGTTGGACCATACTTCTCTCCATGCGTATTTCTGTGAGCACCTTATCTTGGTTGAAGGACTCGCCTTTATAAGCTCAGAATGATACATAGTTCTTGTCAGGAGTTTATCAAATTCCCCTTTATCCAGCCCAGGCCTTTCATTATCTCCTAATATTTTCACCTCACTTCCTCTTCTTTCTTCAGACCATTTTCATTTGAATTTTTTTTTGGCAGCTTTTTGCCTGTGGCTTCTTTTACTTCTGGAATCAAGTAATGCAAATATGTCTTTGCAAATTCTAGCTGAACAATTTGTTATTTCCCCTTTACTCCTCACCATTTTACTGCATCTTGTTTCAGCGTGCAGCTTTAGCCTTCGTGCATTAGTAAACGTGCAAATGATTATTATATTCAATTAAATGCCACTGGTAAAGGGCAGAGAGGTTTCCCCAAGTTCATTATTCACAGTAGCTTTCAGAACCTGAAGAGCTTGACAAACATAGGCTGGGACCAGCCACAATATGGATATTTAGACTGTGTTACGTCGTCTTGGAATAGGAGCTTGACTTGGACATGCACCCCCTCTTTTCTCAGTGACCCTCCCTCTGCCCATTGACCTTATTTTACGAAGTTTCTTCTCTATTTGCCCATTCAGGAACATCATTAAAACAAATATGCCTGGTTTTAATCTTTGCCTTTTTTCCATAATCCAGTCAACAGAATATGTTGTCTTTTTTTATACCAGGTGCTTTGCTAATGAAAACTTGCCTTGGAAGGCTTAGTTTTTGGTGACTGTGGGAGGTAATGATTTGATAAGTTAACATAATCAATAGGAATGAGTGAACCTCCTTGGTAACTTCTTTTCCTAATACAGTTAACATTACTTCTATTCACTAGACCCATAAGGAATGTCTGTTGCATGAGGCTTTGATGAAGACTTCAGGCATTGCGGCTGAGCAGATGCAGGGATCCAAAAAGTCTTTTTGTATACTCCAAAAAAGAAAAGAAAAATTATGCCCTGGCTGGAGTGGCTCAGCAGGTTGGGCATTATCCCACGAATGAAATGGTCGCTGGTTTGATTCCCAGTCAGGGCACATGCCTGGGTTTCGGGCCAGGGCCCTGGTTGGGGGCGTTTGTGAAAGGCAACCGATCGACGTTTCTCTCACACGTTGATGTTTCTCTCCCTCTCTTTCTCCCTCCCTTCCCCGCTCTCTGAAAATAAATAGAATCTTTTAAAAAAAAACTGCCCACAGAGGCCACTTTTAGACAACAATTATGGAGAAAAATACAGGAAAAAACAAGAGGCTTTCTGGATGTTTGTCTTGTGCCACAGAGGGGAAGGTCAACTATACCTTTGTTTTACAAATGTGTGGAGGTTGAAAAATAAAGCAGGTTAATTAAAATGTTTTTCTAATCCTCCATAAGATCTCCATAGTACAGGTTCCGAGCATTCACCTTAGCTGAAATCTGTCCCCAGGCAGACCTGCCTCCAGAGTCCCCTGCTTTACTTAGCAATTAACTACCCTCTGTCCAGGGGTAAGTCCAGAGTGGAAACAAGGGATCAGGCAAACTTCATCCTTCAGTTTACATGTAGTGTGAGTTTTATGTGCCTCCTTTGGTGATGATGCTTTCTGGAATTTTCCTAAAACACTTGCCATTTTTTAGTACATTTCAAAATATGATTCATGATTTTACCAGAAGTACAGGTTATTTATATTATGTATCCTCCAAAGTTGATGTCCAAAATAACGGGTTGCCCCATTAAGAGCCTTGCATGTAGAATCACAGAAATAAGGGTTTGGGCCAATGGTTCTCTTGCATGAGATTCTGAGATCTTGCAAGAAGACAAACATCAGCTGGGTCAGAAGGGCTATACAAAAAATTAAAATTGTGTGATGCCATAGGAAATGAATCGGAGCCTTCTGTAGATTTGGGGGCCCTGCAGGATCTATCTGATGAAGGAACATTTAAACTCAGATCTGAGTGATAGTAAGGAGACAGTGTGTGAAAACTGGGGAGGAGGAAAGGTAATAGGAAACAGCCAGTGCAAAGGCCCTGAGGCAGGATGAAGCATGGCTTCTGCAAGGAACAGAGAGGTAGTAAAGGGCTGTCAGCTGGGCCACACACTTTGCAAGGCAGAAGGAGGACTTTAGGCTTTATTTTCAGCTTGATGGGGTGCCGTTGGAAAATATGAAGCAGAACAGCGATGTGGTCTAACTTACATTTGTAAAAGGCAACTCTGCTTGTTATGTGGGGGATGGATGGAGGAAAGGCAAAACTGGAGGCACGAAGACAAGTTAGGAGGCTCTTATGAATTGCAGTGACCATACAGTTTGTTCCATATAGGACCCTACTGAGAGTGGAAGGAGACACACTATTAATAGAGGAGGCGGCAAAAACTGGGCCTGTGGTGAGCGTACCAGGGTTGCTTTAACCATTCCGGTTGTCAGGAGAGTAGTGGAACCTTTTATGCCATTCCATTTCATCCAGCCATAAACTCTACGTGCCCAGTGCCTAGTATGTGCCTGGTAAATGTTTGTTGGGTGAGTGAGGGAGTAGGTGAGTGAGTCTGGGGGAGATTAGTATCCTTGCTTTCTAAATGGAGCTGTGCTACAAGTATAATGTGAGGTCTAGTTTTGATAATAAAACTCAGACTGTCTCTCAAATTTCTTACCTAATACCTTATTATCTTTGCTTTTAAATGTTTCTAAACTGTCCCTCATGTATTTCCATTCTCTTCCTTCATTTCCTCCTCTCTCCTGGGTTTAGTGTTCTACATACAGAGGTTCTGTAAATGTGTTTGCTGTACTAGTTTTTATCAAAAGCAAAAATCAGAGAGGTCATTGACAGCATCGAGTCCCCAGGCAGCTTTTTGATCTTTCCTTTGAAGCTCCCTGTGCCACATTTAATGTCCAACTTCATGAAGCCTCCACCCGGGCAGTCTGTCAGTGTCATTTAACGAGGCTGGTGGTGTGTGGTGCGCCAACATTCCACTCACTCCTTACACAACGAACTTTCTTGTGTATTCTCTTTTGAGCATCCAGGAAGTAGTCCACCTTATTCCCAGGGAAAGGGAATACACATTTCTGGAGGACCCCACCCGACTCCTTACAGTTAGAGTAGCTTTTGTGTGTTGGATAACTTGCACCAAATTCTCAACGAAAAAAGATAATTTCACCCTCCCACTTTAAATTATGGGCATAGAAAAACTCAAAAGTGTATATTTTGTAAAATTTGTACTGTAAATTACATAAATTTCTGGCTTCATAAACATTCAAGTATGCTTACCTTTGACAAGATTAGGTTAAATAAAAGACTGGCTTTGGGGAGAGGATGCACAGCATAAAGACCTTTTCTTGCTTAATGTACCTGCATGCATGTGTGCAGTGTGTGTCTGCATTGGTGTGTGTGTGTGCATGTATGACTATGCCTGTGTGCTCATTATGGCCTTGCTGATATTCTGCAATCAATACCTGATGTAACCCAGTCAGTGCTGTTATGCTGGAGAGAAAAATGTTCCAGCTTGCATTCTTATTCCTTATTTTTTTATTCCACTTATCTGTATTGCCTAAGAAAATGTAAACCTGTCTACCATGAGATATAGTATATCATTTGCTGACATTTGTAAAATTATAAAATTATTCAATTATTCAACAAGG